CGACTCTCACTTCCCTTACGAAGTCTGATCGACGTGCAGCAACGTAGGGTTTCGACTTTTCTCGATGATCGATTATCGACTCTCACTTCCCTTACGAAGTCTGATCGACGTGCAGTGTTAATCTCGGTTTGCATTCCTGTGTAATTTTCAGCTCTTGGTTTGTTCATACCGTAACAAATGTTCTGTTGACAGAAGTGAATACGTTAGAGGGACACTAGATAATCTTCTTTTACAGCCTATGAGGAAATGAAGAAAGAGCAAATGATGACTGCGGCAAGAGTCAGTGTATTATAGTTAGAGGGATATCAGATAATCTTCTTTTACAGCCTATGAGGAAATGAAGAAAGAGCAAATGATGACTGCGGCAAGAGTCAGTGTATTATGGAGCGCCATGTTTTATGTATTGTACGTACCAGATGGACGAATTTTGAGAAGTCTAGTCACGTCTGATTTCAGTTTCATGGACGACGTAGTCGTCCGATTAGGGTAAAATGGAATTAAATTTGTAACAACTCGAAAACGTCTGTGCACATTTTTGTAAAATGTTTTCTGTATATCCCGTTTTCGACCTACGTGAACTTTTGCACACAGAAGTGACCTTGAAATCACTTGAGTTTTCTGTACATCACGTTTACGACCTACGTGAACTTCTTCACACAGAAGTGACCTTGAAATCACTTGTTTGGGGGGAGGGGGTGGGATCTGCAGCCGGATATGTGCCAGACACCCCTCGCACGCAAATATCATTGGCCGCAGACAACTCTGACGTCACTGCAGCTGTCGGAAACATCAAATGTCACGTTCCGAAGGAACAGTCTCCCGACGCTATTTTTAAGAAAAAGCTTCCACGAATTGAAAACTTTTGGACAAAATGAGCAAACGCACTAGAGTTGGTACGGTGTGCTCAGAAGGTCCCGTTATCTCATAATGTCGAAAAGAGGTCGAGAGGCTTGCCTGAAATGTGAATGACACGTGGTAAGTATTGCCAGCCGGTCACTGTTGAGTTCTGTAATCACCGAGCGTTCCTGCACTCCCTTGCGTGAGCTACATTAAGGCATCGATAAATCTTCTGTTCCAATTATGCCCTAAAATAGCCACTGCTTCTGTTAGTAACACTAATAATGAAATATCAGTAAATCCCACGCCTGGAAGGGCGATACGTCCATGACAGATCGACGGAGCACAGCGCCGTCGGTCTTAGTGATCAACTTGTTCCTGCACCTACGTATTTCTGGACAAATAAATGCAACAAGTTAGCCAAGGTAGACGTACTTGCTGGTAGCATGACAATCTGGCTCATTGACCGTGTTGTTCGTTCCTTCTAGATTTTCAGTTCAAGAAGTCTTTTGGTTGCGAAGTAGTTATGATAGGGGGCGGGCTACCTGGCTGAGCGATGACGTCATCATGGATCCCCACGTGGTTGTGTGTGGGCCTGTCTGGGGATTCCCAGCGAGTAAAAAGTGTGGCAAGTTCCCCTCACCACTGTCCGATTTTATCCGAAATTCGTACGGTTCGACAAAGTTTCGTAAAATTTCCTTCTATGAAGTTCCATTCAAATTCGTTCAAAAATCTTCGACTCAGAACGTGTGACAGACACTGCGAAGTTAAATAGACTTCGTTGCAGACACATTTAAGATGTGTTCAATAAACCAAAACGAAGTTAGGTTGCGCTTGGACGATGGACATGGAAGATAATGGATGTAAAATTAATGATATGCAATCGTGCGTGTACTATGAATGTGCTGGGAATATAGTTCTTTTTTGAAAAGCTAGTAGTCTCTTAGCCGGTCAAAAACTTCGCGTCGTTTATGAAACCCGGTTGCTCATTACCGCATTGACAAGAGCCAGGACTCGACCCTGTACTGAGCCACATCTGATCAGTCCAAGGGATTAATTGGCTTTCCTCGCGATATTTTCCTGCCGTGCAAGGATCCGTGTAGCAGATGACCTCTTCTTCTCACGCATCCCGACCAAAGACGCCTGCCTGCTGCAAGCCCTGCTTCTCGAACTGTTCCTTAATTGCAGACAACTCGGTCCAGACGTCGTCCCCAGCTCTTCGCTGCCGAACGCCACCAGAATCTGTTCCAAAAGAGTTTATGAAACTTGAATCAGTCAGGATCGGTGCTTCTGAGCGCAAGGCGACGATAGGCAGGCGAGACGCCGTCGCGTCGCGACGCCACACAACGATCATAAGCTAACAAACCTTGCGCGTGACGACTTGAAGCCGACTGAGACCGGAAATCGAAATATCATTTAACAAGAGCATGGA